AGCTCATACCAGGAGGTGATCTCAACTTATCGATGCAAAATGGGCATGAGCATGTAAGCAACTCCAGACAAATTGTGTCGGACTTGACGGTTCTTGGTTTGGGAGATTAACTTTAGCCCTGTCTGCTGAGAGATAGTTCCATAATGGGAACTACTAGCTTTTCCACTTATAGAGGGGTGTAGCATGTGCGAGACGTCTGAGGGTCAGTCCTATGGCGATGTTGAGACAGTGAGACCATCGTATGATGCGCGGTCAAGCTTTTCACAGAAAATGTTGATTGGAAGACTCTTAATTTGTGAGTGTGATCGACACAAGGAGGTCACGACTTGTCAGATGAGTGGCGGCACAGATGACGCTTGTCAATACATGCATACCATTAATAGAGCGCTTAGAGTCCAGAGTATTAATCTGGGGGTAGGAAAATATGATGCACGACACCAAAAAGGATGTTCTACCAAGGTAGGATTCGGCATCGTAGGACCATCATAGGTACAATCATCGATCAATCAAACCTCTCCATGCTCTTTGGATTGAAGAAGGCTCCAGCGTTTTCAAAATGAGTTGTTGAGACTGAATCTTGTCTGGGAAAATGAGGTGTGAAGCTTCCCGAGTCTCATCATCAATCAATACCTTGTCAAACTTGGCATAAAATAAGATCAACTAAGCTTGATCGGTTAAAAGCTGACAAAGCTTTTATGGGACTAGCCAAATTAAGTAATAAATATTTGCTACTTCCGGATTTTCAACTTGGCCGCAGTATCACAGACCCTTTCATGACTTTTCACGGTGTCAATGATAATCTTACGTTGACAACCAACGAAACGCGAATAACCTCATATAATCTTCCCCATCTCCGTTGAACTTCAATCCTAATCAACCAGTGAAGTGGTAGGATTTTATGATCCCAATTTCTTCAATGATCATCAGATACACTCATAATTTTACACGGCGGGAGGATACGACCCAAATTCTTCAACACGATTTCGATGGATGTCAAGTCTTCCCGCCTTGCACGCACAAATGTGGGTGTATTCACACCAGTTCCTAAAGACTGGCTGAGGATTCTTCAATTGAAATTCGTTGAAGATATTTCTTGCGGCAGCAAACGAATGAGAGGTCGTGAATTTTCCTCTAAGCGCCCTGTGTGAGATCGTTCAACTGTTGGTTGCATCAATATGAGATCTGCTGCGCCAATCGTTCCGGATCAACACGTTTCTCATCTGACATCGACGAGCCTCAGTTCTAATTCGATAATAGTATGGTATAAGACAAAGCGGCCTCTCTTTATTTTAATCATGCTTTACTATTTTTGTATTTATTTTGGGGCAGGCCACATTTTGCCACCATTCAATGTCATTTTCTGAGCCATATTCAATCGGCCAAGACTCAAGGAGTTCGCAAATACATCATTTGTAAAATCCGATGAAAGTCTACGGTGAATGGAAGCAGACTTAGCAGAGAATGCGAGTATCTTCTATTTCACGTGTCGGGACTCGGCAATACTCTGTACAATTCGAACTCATCCTACTGACGTATTCCTATACCCTGCAGTGTCGCTTTTCACCGTTACATCTTGAAACTTCATTCGTCGCTCGGTTCATCGCGACGCAAGTCAGCTTGTGAAGATTTCTTTTGCCATCGCATGACATTTGCTACAACTTTTATACTCAGCCTCCAAAGTGGGGTCAACAGTAGGCCGTTTGTATGGCAAAGCTAAATTTACACAAGCATGTGAGCACCAGCCAAGATCAAAGTAAGAAGGAGCATTTTTCACGGCACATGAATACGGGCCTCCGAGTAGGCTTCGTACCACATTCCTGTTTTAACACCATTTTTATCATGTCGAACATGTTTTCATCGAGATGTGCATTTCTTCTGCAGACTCACCGCCTGACTTGGGGCGGTGCAAATTGTCTTCTTGTCCAGCAAATTCTCATAGTGATTCTGATATTGATTGTCTGGAGAACAGATTTCTCTATCAATCTCTTTCGCCAGATGAGAGGTACTAAAAGGGTTTGTCAAATTGACTTTCTTGCTTTCATCATATGCATTGATCGTAGAATTCATCTGGGTCACAGCATAATCAATTTCTATTGATATCGAGAAGAAAGCCTCCGAAGCTTATCACAAAGTCAGCGCTCGCGATGCTTTGCCTGAAAAGATCCTTTAGTGAGGATTTCAGCAATACTCTTGCTGCATTGATGTATTCTTGCGTTATTGTCAGTCTAGCAACTTTGTGTACCCTATTTCTTCTGTCCCGTGTCGATCAAACTGATCAAATTGATCAGACACACTGGAGGTTTATTGCCATTCAACACATTCATTGTCATGATTATGAACATCATTTAGGCATTAACCCACGAGCTTTAGCACTAACATACAGATGCTTGACTTCTGGGCATGAGTCCCCGATTATTATGAGAAAACTGGAGTAGATGATCGAATTATGTGGTATGAAATGTTAACTTTAGATTAACCACAAATTTCGGCTCTTGTCTAAAACTTCAGCAATCTTTCTAGATACGCCCTCAAATGAAGCAATACACGGACTAATATCCACGTTACAATCAAACCTAACCAAACTCCCCAGATTGTTCCAAGTCCCGCAAGAAGCCTTGCATCTACAATGAATGAAATCAAGAGATTTCTCAATTCATCATTGATCAGCCACCAACTATACAACGGCATTCTAACCTTGGGAATAGTATCTCTCGATTTGATTGTTTCCAATGTTTCGGCCATTTTCCATGCCACACGATTGCCGATACTATCCCATGTTGCTTCTTCCGCCATTTTTCGACTTTCAATACTCATGGCTGATCTCAATTTAAGATCGTTGCCAAGTTTGAGAATTTTTTCAACAAATCCTTCAAGGTCTGATGGGGCCACCAAATATCCTGATCTATTTTCTGCAACAATTTCTGATGGGCTATAAATAGTCAGCTTATCCCGAGTCCATAAAGGGCATAACTCACCCTCCTTCGTCTCTTGCAATGACTGGTACACCACTCGCCATTGATTCCAGAACTACCAGACCGAAGGTCTCGGTAATTGAACAATGCAAAAATATATCAGCAGAAGCATAAGCTGAGGCCAGTGCCTCGCCTCTTAGCATTCCGGTGAAGATGATCTTTCCCTTCATCACTAGGTCTGCGAACAAATCTTTTATTTCGTGTTCAACCTTTTGGCTCTGATTGCCTCCAACTATGATGAGCTTAAAGGGGAAATCTCTCTTGACCAACTTCTCTGCTACCTCGCTCAAAAATTCGAACCCCTTTTCTGGTGCAAGTCTAGCTACACAGATCATGATGAGCTCGCCATTCGGAGCCCACTCTATTCGATGTTTCTCTAATCGCCTCGAGGGATGAAACATAGAACTATCAACCCCTCTTCTCAAATTCATCATCTTTTCCCCTGGTACTTCTATCTTGACTAAATATCTTTTCACAAACGCACTTGGATAAAGTATTGCCTTTACACCCTCCCATCGGAAAAGATACCCTTGCACACTTCCAAATACCCAAACTGCCCATCTATTTAATGGTGTTGGAAATAATATCTCGCAATAGCCTGATAAATCTGTTTGAAAATTCAGTAGCACGGGAACTTGTTCTTTGTTCTGCTGCTGTCTTAACTGTAACAAGATCTGGAATCCCAGAGATGCAGGACTTGCGAGGTATATTAAATCTGGTTTTGATCCAAAGGTCCTAGTATATAGTTGCGACAAACGTACAGGATAAACAATTGAAAGTTCGGGGTTGTAAGGTAATGGATATCCTTTTAATCTCACTTCGATATGGTTGGTATCGTGTGTTGTGGGAGCAATTGGAACTGCTCCGGTTGAATTATGAGGCGCGACAACTGCGACGGATACGCCATTCCTGCGAAGGTATTCCACCAAATTTAAAGTCGTTCTGCTGACACCATTTACAGGTCCAAATGATTCTGTGGCGAGGAGGATACGTTTTCCCTCAAGAGCTGCTGGGAATTTAAGTGGTGTATTTGTATTTGGACAATCTTTAGATAGGACCATTCTCAAATCCATTTATTCAACGTATTGGAATTGTATTCCAAAGAGCTTGAGGCCAATAGAGGAGCATCGACTTAATTATCTTGCTGAAAAAGGCCAATCTTTAAATAATACCCAACCAACAAACCGATAAGGTCTTCCATTGGGTTGGACTTTTCAGGCTAGGTTGTTATATCACAGTTCCCATTATTCGCCCCCCGCTATCAATTCTTCACCACATTTCTACTCAGCACATTCTAACTATGCACTTGGAGAACGCTTTCCCCCATGCTGTTCACAATCTCTGTCTTATTGGATGTTTGTTTGTACAACCTCGCTCAACCAATGAAAGGTAAGATCATAGCCCCACGTGGGGAATTTCCTGGTCCTGATTTTCGGAAATCATTCAATAGTTCCATTGCTCGTTACACCTTGTAGACAGTATACAGTTATCAAATGTCTTATCAGAGGACAATCAGTTTCAGGGAAAGCATATGCTACCAACATTGTCGTTTGTCTTGAGATGAGTCATGAACCAGTATTGCTGTCAACGTGTAAGAGTTTGTTGGCTATCGTTTTCTGTCGAGTATCTTAGGATTCCTTTGTGATTGTGTCCTGGTGATGAGTGATTTGAATTCCGGGAAGTTTTATTGATATGTTCATGATGCTATCTCTGTAATATGACGGAGGGTGACTATTTTCAGCGGTGGAAGTGTACCTTCTGTTTCTGTTATCTGTTCCTTCCTGGTCTAGACTCTCAATATCTGCTCTTTTCATGCTTCCATCCTCATGACCCTTATTTACTATAGATCTATAGGGACTCGCATGTAAAAAAATTCTCAACATCACCATAATTTCTTTTCTTTTCTTAGATTCATAAGGTCCACGTTCAGAACCTTAGATCTCAATCCAGGCTTCTCGAACTTTTCCAAATAGCATATGCGCTTCCTAGATATTTTCCATATTGCGAAGAAGACAGAAATTTCCAAATATGTCACCAAAGGATTCGACACCTCTAGATACAGACGGGAGTACCCACGATATATCAACCGCACCCACAACACCTGATGGCAGTCTTACTTTCAGTCCCATTTTACAAGCTTTGAATTTAGACGATGGTATCGTATTCGATAATTCTCTTAGAAATGAGAATTCGACGCATCGTCTTGTACAAAATGTATGTTGTGTAGGTGCGGGGTATGTTGGTATGTGATCTCCCAGTTCCGATATCATCCTAGTAGGGGGTTTTATTGACTTCTCGATCTTAGGCGGCCCAACAGCAGCTATGCTCGCGCTTCAGAATCCACAAATAAAATTCACGGTTGTCGATAAAGATACTTCTCGCATAAGTCAATGGAATTCAAAACACTTACCAATCCACGAACCGGGTCTACTAGAGATCATCCGTATATGTCGTGATGGGTCGAGAGCGTTCTCGCTTTCCAATGATCCGTCGACTGAAAATGCTGAATCATCATCTGAGGATGTATCCGAACATACTGATTATATTCACATTCCAGCGCGATCACCAAATCTATTCTTCTCTGACAATATCGAAGAATGTCTAGGCGAAGCAGATATGATAATGATCGCTGTCAATACACCTACAAAGACTTATGGAATAGGTTCTGGAAAAGCAACAGATATGACAGCCGTAGAATCAGTTGTGCAAGATATTGGAAAATATGCAAAATCTGGAGCTATTATCGTAGAGAAAAGTACCGTGCCAGGTCGAACTGGTGAATTTATCAAAGATATCGTATGGTATTCATTACTCTTTTATTGTAAGAAAGATGACTGACACATCCTTTAAGCTAGCAATTCTCCGTCCTAATGAAATATTCTCGATCCTCTCATCTCCCGAATTCCTATCCGCAGGTTCTGCTGTTCAAGATCTCTTACATCCAGATCGTATTCTCATTGGTTCTTCTCGCTCCCGCACCTCCACTCTTGCAGCCCACTCCCTCGCTTCCCTCTACCACTGGATTCCTTCTCGAAAACTAATCCACACCTCCACTGCCTCTTCTGAACTATCGAAACTAGTTTCCAACGCCATGTTAGCACAGCGAATAAGTTCCATCAATAGTATTTCCGCGATTTGCGAAGCTATCAGTGCGGATATTGATGAAGTATCTGTAGCTGTAGGTCTAGATTCTCGGATTGGGAATAAATATCTAAAAGCGGGGATTGGATTCGGGGGGAGTTGTTTTGGGAAGGATATTAAATCTTTGATTTATCTAGCTGAGGAATTGGGGTTGGATGAAGTAGTGGAATATTGGGAGAGTGTGTTAGTGGTTAATGAGTGGCAGAGGAGGAGATGGGTGGAGAATATTGTAAAGAAGATGGGTGGTGGATTGAGGGGAAAGAAGGTAGTGGTGTTGGGGTATACTTTTAAGCGGGGAACTGGGGATGTGAGGGAGAGTTTGGCGAGGGAAGTAATTAGGATGTTGGGTGAGGAGAAACCGGGGGAGATTGTGGTTTGGGATGATGGGTGTGATCGGGATGTGTTGAAGGAGGAGGTAAAGGGCGTAGCGAGTGTGAGGGTAGAGGAGGACCTGTATATTGCTTGTGAAAGGGCAGACTCGCTTCTTATCTGTAGAGAGCTGGAAAATTCTACAAAGGGAAAAAGTGAGGAATTAGTTGACCCGAGACCATTTTTCGGGCGTCCTTCGGCAATGGATTTGTCAGACTTGAGAAGACATTTATCATCGCAATCTTGCGCAGAGGTAGAAACAGATGATCCACTAGGAAGGCTATATCCCGAGCCACCTTGTGAAGAAGGTTGCACGAAATGCGAGTGTGGCAAAAACACAAGTGTGAGAGAGGAGCAGGTCATTGACTGGAAAAGAATAGTCAAGGGGATGAAAGCACCAAGATGGATATTCGATGGAAGGGGTGTTGTTGATAGGATTGAATTGGAAAAGATTGGAAAAAGTGTGGGTGTAGAGGTTAGAGTTGTGGGAGTGGGGATGGGGATGGGGAGGCATGGATGGTAGATTGATCTGGGGTTAGACATGTGGATATCTTGACAGAGGAGGATATTATAAGTAATGGGAGTTATATTTATGACATGAAGTTGGAGTCTAGCGACTTGGTCTCTGACTGCTTAGTCGAGTATGACCTGTAGATTTTGGGGGTAAAATTAGCTATTATATATATGAGTTGGTAGGGCATATACCCAAGAATATACCGAACTAAGGAAATTCCATCCTTTGAATAGATTTAAGTATGAGTGAAGTGATGGCCACTAGTGCGAATGAAGTCTTTTCTGTCTTTATATCATACTGAAAGCCCGTCTTCAGTATGATATTTACTCACCCACTGACTATTCTGAAATGCTTCAAAACTATGCCTGTTTAGGACTTTTCATATTTTCTTCCCTAGGAGATGGACTGAACGCTTTGAACATATTATTCAACAAACTACTCGATCATTGAAGGTCTCTCATTACGACAAGACTAATGTGTGAATCTCACAATATATTCCCGAGGCTTGATTGTTCCGAGGTCGAAACATGGTCATGTGATATGAATAGTCTCTCAACTTTACTTACCTAGCCCAATGCTTGGAAGACTGTTTATCAATCACCACGTTTAAGAGATGCTCCTCATATCGGAAGACCACTGATCCGCTCTCTGAGAAACGGTGATCGATGTAAAGCATTGATTGATGTTCACACAGTAATCATGTGATTTGTCGGACGAATCCCGGAAATCCGGCACAGGTTCGCCGTCAACGATCAGCTCTTTGCGTTTGTACAGCACCATACTACCTTTGGGACATGCTCCGCGTACTACGAGACCCTATATGAATGTAGGGACCTGTTCATGTTAGGTACAGGAGCGGCGAAGTTGCAGCCGCTCAGTGATGCCCCGTATGCTGTGCATAAGCTCATGGTATGATGGACCCTAATCATTTGAGTCATGGTGCCTTGGTAGCGAGTTTGAAACTGCAAAGGGTACAGAGCGATTTTAGATTGTTATACTTTGACCATTTGACCAAGATGCCATGGAAATTGAGAGCAAATGTAGGAGTGATGTACTGATTGAAGTGGTGGTGGTTCATTTGTTTCGCTTACTAAGGATGCACAGACGGCATGTTCGCATTGCAATTCCACTTGAATTTCACGATCACTCATATTCTTATGTTTCTTTGCTTCTTTGCCACAATCATATACCTCAAAAATGACAAAAGCTTGTCATTTGTAGGGCGTGCAGTGACAGTTCAAGTAGTCGCTTGCTGGAAGGTGTCAATCTGTAGTCTGGCGACCGTCCCTTGATCAGCCGTCCTCTTACGAGAAAGTCAAATATCTTCCGCTGAACGAACTCCAAACAAAAATCTACATCGTACCATATTTCGTTTCTCGGACTCGAGATAGTTTTCTCTTTCCGGGGGAACTCTCACGGGAACTGTCCGAGCACCCATGCGTGCCTGCAATCTATTTCTCGATGAGTTTAGTATCCCGAAAGAACATCTGAGCGTTCGTACAGTCTGTACCAGTAGATAAATTAGTTTCATCCCGCCATTGGCAGCCACGTTTATGGGCGACTGAATGATTCCATCTTATCGAGCACGTAGTCTGATGAAAACCAATTTTTGCGTATGGAGACCAGGTCCAAGCTATAATGCGAACTGCTCTAATATTAAGGTAGAGTGTTTCCCTCTTCTCTCGCCCAGTAGGTGGAATTGAAATCATTGCATTGCTGGCTCAATACTCAACGATTTTTCAATATGCGAATCCCTCCACCTCAAGTTCTGTCAACCTTTCCACAACCGAACTACATCGACCCAGTGACTAGAGGACCTGTACTCCTCATAATAACCGCCGTTTTTCTCCCTCTTGTATACATTGTGGTTAGCTTACGAACCTTTACACGGATTCATCTATCCAAGCATTTCGGTATTGATGATGTGTTTCTTCTAATCGCTCTCGTCCCGACTACAGTCTGCGCTGTTGTTGCACTCATCGCCCAGGAACGTTGGAAATGGAATCGCCATATTTGGGATGTTGCACAGGGTGATGCCGAGTTTGGACTCAAAATATCTTTACTGCTAGAGTGTTTATTTGGACTTGCTGTTGCATTAACGAAAATATCTTTGCTCATCTTGGTGATGCGGGTTATGTCCAGAGGAACCGGTCTACTTAAACATTTAGCTATTGCTATGATTGTGCTAGTGGCATGTGAAGCAATTGCTTTTGATGTGGTTATTATCAACAATTGCAGGTATGATGATCAGATTTGCTGTAGGATTGAGAAAATTACTGATCATATACAATAGTCCCATTTCGGACTACTGGAAACTATCTTACTCACCTCAAAATTGCATCGATGAACGAACACACTTACTTGCAAGCGCAATCATTAATACCTGCTCCGATTTCTTTGTCTTCTTCTTACCTATACCTACCGTGTTTAGCCTTCCCATACCCTTCCGTCAACAATTGATGCTTTTCATCCTCTTCGCTGCTGGATTGGTCGTCTGTGCTTCGGGTGTTGTTAGGATATGGTATATACACGCTGCATATTCATCATATGATAGAACTTGGTTCTCATATCCATTATGGATATCTAGTGTATTGAATTTATACGTAGGCATAGTAAGAATCCCTCAATTATCTGTCGTTGTCTCACGTCAAGAATCTGTGATATTAACCCCGATTACTCTAGATATGCACCGCACTCCCAGCTACAAAACCATTCTTCTCCACCTTTCTTCCGTCTCTATTTGGGCATAGCAATCAACCTTCGGACGGAAGTCTATACAAGTTATCGGCTCACAACCCTTCCAAGGTCAGAATGCATCCATCTCAAAACGAGCTCAAACGACCTGAAGAATCTTTCAACATTGGCGACATATCAGATCCAATGGCTGAAGAAACGGAGATTCCTGATTATATGAGAAAATCCAGACAAATGCTTCCGCTATCATATCTGAGTTCTCAATCATCAAATCGAGGATCATCGAATCGGCGATCATCACTACAAAGATCATCAAATCCACCATCATATCATCATCAGTCTTATCAAACTTACGATACTCGAGATATGGAATTTGACGAAGCAAGCCTGAGTATTGGCTCATACTTGGAACGCGGATCCGCTCGTTTAACCCAGCAATCGGATGGAACATATCCAAGTGACCGCTCAAGTTTAAGCACTTTCGTCACCGAAGAACCTGGATCGCCACAGTCATCACGATTCGCCAGCAGTTTGATGGAGGTCCCATATACTTACAATCAATTTGGCAGAGCACACGAATTACGTCCATCTGAGAGTCAAGACGTCTTGATACATGCAAGATAAGAAGTAATGACGAGTCATACACACTTGTGTGTGAGACAAATCATCTCAAATCCTGAGAATTCCTGCAGAGGATTCTAGATTTGGGACACTGCAACCGCTCGGTGAAGAGATCTTAATCACGTGACCGAGTACATAATCCTAATTAAGCTCCTCAGGATCTTCTATGCGACGTTCAAGGGTATGAAAAAATCGATGCGGGGTTGTCGTGCATTAGAACAATTTGAACCGCATAAAATCGGTCAAGGTCAGATGTTGCGTTGTTTTTCACGACAAACTGTTTTCCCTTTCATACGAACTCGCCCACTTTATTAGGCTGGCGGGGAAGAGAATTGGTAACATTGTCGGTGAACGGAGGTTGCGGATGTAATGCGCAAGACGAAGAGGTTTTGCAGGATTTTCACGCTCATGTCATGACCACATGGACATGAACATGGACATGAACATGGAAATGGAAACACCTGGTATCTACCGGCTAATAGACTGTGCTGTGTGTGATAGTGGGCGAATGATGAACATTTGGGAAATATGCTGATCGTTATATCTTCACTTGTGATGAAGGAATATCAGATGACTTGATAATCTGTCCGATCATCTTTTTTCAAATTCAGCTGATTAAGGCAATTCAGATATATACCTAACTATTGAAGCTTATTTTGTTAATTCGTGTTTGTGGACTCTTGTGATACCCCAGGGCTTTGAATTATCTTCCTTTTGGTCCAATGAGTTCCATCCAATCCGACCCTGGAATCGGAGATATAAAAAAACCCATCACTTCAACCCCTTCATGAACAGTGCAGCCCCAGGGAAAAATTCGGTAAAGTAAATTGGTGGCTGTAAAATTTGAACCTTTGTAGCGGAACCACACAACCCCTACAAAATCCATTTGGAAGAAGAGCATCGACCTAGAATCGAGATTTTTTTATGGATTTGGCGATAATAAGACCGTACTCGATATTTAGCCCAGTCGTCATCGTGAATATTTTATGCATGTTGGATGCAAGGCTTATTAGGTATCAGGTAGCGGAAGCGATGAGTAGACTCACTCACACGAGTGAGTACCATAGAATGAAAAGGGACGATTCAGATTGATCACTTATAAGTTATACGGTCCCGAAATACCTGGATCAATCACGCACAGAGACTCAGAGCAGAGAGAATCCCGCCCATGCTTTTTGCATTGCTTGGCTTGGCTTTCCACACAGAGTAGAGGGAGTGGTGAGGGTACTCGACTAACTCGAGCAGATCCGACATATTACAATACTATAGTGAACTACTAATATTAAACGATCTACATATAGCTTTCACATTTTTTAAAAAAAAATTCAAATGAATTGGTTCCCAAATTTCTGAAATACCCGCTTCATCTTAATGTTTCTTAATGATGGCCCTGAGGAAGGTCGTCTCTTGGATCACACAGTTTTGTAAATAGTCAGGTGTTCCATCAACCGGTAGGTTGGCGTCAGTCTGCTCTCGTGTTGGATTCGAATGATCTACAGCGTCTACGAAATGAGGAAGAAGGAAAAAAACCCCCAACAATAATTCCGCAGCTCAAAACGGGAACAAGGTTTCAATATCGATTGTCTATAGGTAATCTAGTACATGCAATTATTATTATACATACTTCACAATTTGACGTGTTTGATCCTCTTACGTTCTTTTACACTTTTCTTTTCCAAAAAATATCATATACTTTCCTATAATAGGGGAATATACTCCGAACGCACACTTCCAACTCGAGGGAGCCTTTTACCGCTTCTTTCGCCCACCTTTCCGACCAGCCTTTCAAGTAACCTTAGGAACTCAGATCCCCACTACGCGTACCGCCGATTAATAAGTTTGAAGAAGAAAACTTATATCATTCAGAGAAAGTACTACAAGAGACTCACCAGTCTCGGAATTTAGATCTTGAATTTTTCGGTCCGGCACATCACAAAAGAAAATCTACGAAGAACTAGGTACCATTAGTTTTGACGTCAACGTTACCGTACAACAAGCTTTCGTACTACACATACCATACAATATACATCAACCTCGAAAGCATAGAAGATAGCACGATAATGGTGTAAAATAACGTTGGTGATCATGTTGGAGGAATTTAGAAGTTGGAAGGAAAAGCCCGATCCATAACATATAACGAAATTCCCCTCCATCCTCCCCCTCATTTCGAGACGAAAAACTCAGATGCCATATTCTCCATGGCACCCCTCCCAACACACATAGCACGAACTGTGCTTCAATTTTCCTCGAGAGATATTGGAGACAATACGAATGAAGGTCAAGATGTATCGATATCCGAAGGATTAGTCTTGCAAAAACTGGCATTGACATTTGCAACTGCTAGTGTTGCTTCTTCGATTCTAGCTTTTTATTGGTTTGTTAGAATGAGACGTTCGTTCAGACATGAGTGAGCTTTACCCCATTTACCCCTCCATTTTTTTTTATGTCCATGTACTGATAACCGATTAGTCTCATTATGTTATTAATTCAAAGCGATATGTTTAAAGCTTTATGGTTTATGGTTTTTCCAATCGTTGTCTTTTTACATGGTCCTGTAGCAGATAATTCAAAATTTTGTCAAATAAGTGGATTTTTTCTAGCTTTAGGAATTGAAGCTTCAGGTTTGAGATACCATTCCATATGTGTGTGTGAACATTTATTAATTCGAGTATAGATATCTCGGTTCTCATGGTTGCTGTACATACTGCGTTGTATATTTTCAGACCTAGATCCTCGTCTGGCGAAGGGGGCCTCTATCCATATCGTAGGATAGCTTACACCATTTGGATAGTCTTTCCACTTTTGACGGCGTCTCTGGCTTTTGTTAATGATCATGAAGCTTATGTTGCTCAAGGAACGTACTGTTATCTACCAGTACGACCTTTTTGGTATCGCTTGGCTTTAAGTTGGATCCCTCGATACATTATTTTCATCACCATTGTCACTGTTTATGTTTCAATATATTTCTATGTACGATTTAGGTTTCGTGGATTCGAGAACAGTCATTCTCAAGATAGTTGTGATTCGACCAGACGCAATCAAGTACGAAGGAGTCTACCTCCTCCAGCTCTAATTCTTAATGGACCCGTGACTGAAATAAGACGTCCTTCCGCTGCGTATGTTACCGAGAGAAGGAAACAATCCTCGTCGACTTTGGAATCCCTCGCCAACATGAGGAACAATGCCCACCAATTTATGTGGACTTCAGTATTCCACTCTCGCAATCGAACTCATTCCGTATCTCCTCCATCAGAAATCTCCGCACCGGATACTGACTCATACGCTGGAGCATCAACACCACAAATCGTATCCGAGATAACCAGTCCAGCTATCTTGATGCCACAACAAATACTCAATCCACTTCCTCATCCTCAATTTCGAAATACATCATGGAGAGAAAGTATTGCCAGACGATTATCTCTCGACTCGAATGGTTCCGTATATATTCATCCCGCTACTCTTCAACAACAAAATGGATCAGCCGAACAAGGGAATCCTTACGATATGTATCTTGTCAATTCTCGCGGTCAAGATTTAACGGTATCGGAAATGATACGCACACGAGAGAAAATCCGTCGTCAACTTCGATTTTTATTTATTTACCCTTTGGTTTACTTGGGAATGTGGACTGTCCCATTTGTATTCCACATTCTACAATTCAATGATAATTTGGCGGTCAATCCGCCATTTGCGATTAATTTATTAGCTACCGTTTTTATTTGTGCACAGGGTGCTGTGGATTGTTGGTTATTTTCCACACGTGAGAAGCCGTGGAAACATATTCCCGGAACGGCCGGAACGTTTTTCGGGAGTCTAAAATTCTGGGTCATCTTTTTCGGCAAGGGGAAGGAGAGACAGGGACATGGGCCGGGGAAAACGAGAAACGAAATGGCGAGGGAAGCGCGACAAGCGTACAAGAGAAGAGATCAGGAGCTGGCGCAGAGGAGATTCGAGGCGCAGGCGGGTAATGGTGTAGTTATGGAGAGAGGAAGAGGCGATAGAAGTTGGTGGGATGTTGAAGGGGCCGATAGATTGGGAACGGTTGGTGTTGGGGCCGGAGTGGCGGCCATGACGCCTGTTCAGGAGGAATTTTCGATTTCGACGGATGGAGAATCTGAGGAAGTGGGTGGGCCTTCGGAGCTGATCCGAGAACAAGATCCCGTTCATACGAATGCTGACGGCTCTGCAATTGATGGGAAAGAAAGAAATGGTGATGTTTAATGGCTGGAGGATACAGAGTATATGATTAATCAATGACGGTACATACATCGGTAGGCATAGCGTTTGAGCATTGCATAATACGGCGGCATAGCATATGGGGAAGGCATAGTCAAGGGCATACATACTGGCGTTCGAAAGGGAATCAAGCATTTTTGGGAGTTATGGTATTGCATATGTATAAGCATTGGGTATGGATATGGGTATCGACCGGCGAGTCTACGGACCCGGTATTGGGTGGGAAAGGCGTTGAGGTTACTTTGCTTGTATATAAATTCCGTATTGTCGGATGAATTGACATAAGTAGAATTCAAATACTATCTTAAACAAACCCGCTGTGGTCGCTTTTGTGGTTTGTAGTTGCTTCTTATTTATACTTTGTTCCTGGTAGGATATCGGATAGTTTGGACTGCCACCCACAACCAGGAACTGTCGATGTTGGGAAGCAACACGATATACCAAACCAAACCAGTGCTCTAAATCATTCGAATCATATAGATAGAATTGGAAAGCACACACTTCTATTCCTTAGAATGCACTCACATCAATCTTTGAAACTCCAAACCTAATGTGGTAGTCTCACCTGACGTTTGGGGTTGCTCTCTTAGCAAAGCAAGAAGGAGCACCACATATTGTTTATTATTTAAGAAGCAATCATTCGGATTTTAAAGACTTGTTCAATATCATATTCTTTTCGATAACAACAATATTCAATATTGACAACATCATATTCTTTTCGATAACAATAACATTCAATACTCCATCATTCAATACTCCATCGTTAGTCACAACAATGAACGGGAACTACTCGAATAGGAACCTATCCAATGGGAACCACTCGAATCGGAAGTCCTCAAATGAGAGTCGCTCCAACAGGAACAGCTTGATTGGGAACCTCTTAAATGGAAACCACTCAAATGGAAACCTCTCGAATGGGAATTATTTGAATGGAAATCTTTCGAATGGGAACCTCTTGAATGGGAACCATTCAAATGGAAACATCTCAAATGGGAACCACTCAAATGGAAACATCTCGAATGAGAACATCTCGAATGGAAACATCTCGAATGGATCGTCGCATAGCTCAGCACCCCAAATTGATTGGAAGAATTTATTTCAGATCAGAAAAACTTGGCTCGAGAAATGTCAAGCCGAATTGCAAGATTCACAATTAAAATGCTTGCAAGTCCAAGAGCAATATCGAGAATTGCGAGAAAGCTATAAGGAACTCCGGGTGGCATGGCAAAATTTGAGGACAGAGCTAGAAAAAGATTGGCAGCTCCGAGCGGAAACTGCAAGAGCTTATCAAGAATTTCAAACGGCGTACGAAGAAGAAAGAAAACAACGAGTTCCAGTTGAACAAGCACAAGAATTGTTTCACGACAAGTTACAGAGAGGTTTGCAGTTGTTGATAGAAACGGCACAGAAAACAGCGCGAGATTCGAACCGTTCCAATTTCCATCTTGATCGCGACCCCTTCGAACATTCAACACAGCTTGCGATGCCAAACCAATCTCTGCCTTTACGATCTACACTCAACCCAGTAGCACCTGTGTTTTCGAAGCCTCGTAAGGATACTCGTCCTCAATCTGCTGACTCGGCGTATTATTCTTCTTCATCAAAGGAGGCGGCAAATGGAAGTGAGCCTAAGATGTCCAATGGTTCAGGTACCGCGAGCAGCGGCGATGCCAATTCACCATCTACACCATCCACACCGCCGAACCCGAGTCAAATACAGTTCGGAATTCCACAGATGCTACCCAAATTTCCTCGCCGCCATAAATCAGACTCTTGCCTGACTGACATGCGAGCCGGCAAAGCTTCTACTCCGGAATAAAAGACGATGTTGGGGATAGAAGATTCTACTACGATGTACTTCATATGTCCCGTAGCTTGAGGTAGATGTGGAGAATATGGAATACTCACTTGCACTCACTTGTGTCGGTCTCCGCAACTCGAGAATTTTTCAACCGCAATGTTCAAAACAAAGCGACCAAGAAACAAAAACATCAATAATCCTCTCAAAATTAAGCATTCTCAAATTGCGCAACAGCGAGATCTGTATCGATAGGAGGGATAGACATTTATCGAGGAACAGGAACAGGGTTATACATCTTTCCAAGCGAACTTCAATTTTCTTGCCGGACAGTACAGATGTTTTCTGTCAGGGGACGATGCTCAGTGTACATAGCATTAGATGGTTAGAAAATGAAACACATTCTTCTTTCGAAATATTGTGTACTCCTTTTGTTTGAGCAGTATACTAAAACATCATTTGCATTCTGTGAGTTATGGTGTGGTGTGATCTCGATTATGTTGCCATTCCCATTCTCAATATCTATATCTGCATCGGAGTGTCTCAGTTGCTTTCCCCATCCCCTAGCCCTAAAGTCAACATATCTGCGCAAAGATGAGACCCGGAAACCCATATGATATTTGCGATTTCATTCTATGATGTTCCGTACTTGCGGTGTTCTTGTCCCATATCTTTCATATGCAGCTTCCAAGTCATTTTTCTGTATACAGCGGGAAGCTATCGTCTCGTAGTAGTGTATTGCAAGATTATTCAAACAAATGCCGGAGCAAGTTAGTAGACTGAAGTTCATATACTTTATTTCTAGGAGCCTCTTTATGTAGTCTGGAGGCAGATTATTTCTCCCGATTTCAAATACTGATAGCCCTGAAGGTTGACCAAGTCGTAAAATGATATATTGAGTCATCACGGGCTAACCACTGTCAAGATGGATGCACACCTGATGCTTCAGATCGATCACGACGATTGGTTGGATATCTATCAAGTTGTCGATGCGGTGAGCGAGAACGACTGCGAGTGGGATTGTCGTCGCCGGCTCGTCTATTGTAATACTGACCTAGTGTCGAAGTTGGTTTGTCGAGTTTTCCGTCGGTCAAATCTCCTTGAAATGGTGGCGGCGAGTTTTTATTCTCCCATGCAGGATCTACTATCACACTATTGTGAAAAGCCTCGCTCTCCCAATAACGTGGGTTATCTATTTGAAACTGCTTTGAGAACTCCACCGACCACGGGCGACGAGGCTCTACTTGTTGATTCCTCGCTAATCGTAGTTCGAATTGCCAATATTCTTCATTTCGGAAATCCTTGGGATATCTTAATGGCGGTGCATTGTTTCTTAACCGGAGAAGATAAGTTCGGAGAGGGCTGTCATTGGTCCCTGCCATTGAACATTGTATATAAGTATGACTCGTGGAATTGCATTTTGGACATCCGTCTATGAACCCATCTTTGTTAACGGGCCCTCTGCACCATTTTAATTCGTGCCCAGACTGCCCGCAATTGCCACATACGCAATCGAGCGGCTGTTGAATTCGTCCCCGATTTGGATACGGATTGAATATTGGCTGCTGAGATTGAACAGCGGGCGGTGGTTCGATTTCCAGCTGCATTGCAAGGTTCGGTGAAGGTGCATCAATTTGTTGCTGTTTCTGAGGATGAGGGTATGGAGTGTCTTAATCTTGTGGTGGTGCACCAGACTGTTGTCGTTTCGAAGATGGAGCAACTTGAGGTGTTGTAATGTCTTGAACTTGTGGTGACTGTCGCGACTGCCCAGACTGCTGGTCATGAGATTGATCTATTGAATCTGATCGAATCTTTTGTGTATAAAGATCACGCCAATATGTGACCTGCGCAGTCAGTGAATGAATTTGCGCATGCAAGTCTGCCATCTTTATCTGCGAATCCACTCTCGATGATCTATCAGATTCATCATTTCTATCCCCATCCTCTCTCTTGGATCTACCTGCTCCGCCAGGATTGTGTTGGTAATTGTTGTAGCCACTCATACTTGGTAATTGGTTCTTGTTGTGTTGTGTGTGTATTTTCAAGGGTTGAAATATTCGCGAACAATCAAATCATAACAATGAGTAGCTCAGCACAGGGAATTCAAAAGAAGCGATTCTTTTTAAAAGTTACGGCTGATTGAATCGTAATTTTAATTCTTAATTGTTTATCCACTACCTAGTCTATTGAGAGCTGTATCCCAGAATGAAGTGAATTGTAAAGTGAAGTCTGAGAACCATTGTTCTCTCCTCACACTGCTCTGGATTCTTTGGAACAATCAATGGTGAATACAAATAGAATTGACTTCCTTACAACTTCGTCTCTCCACGCTCAATCCATCACTATTCTTGTGCATTCTTTTACTCCACCACTGCTTTCGTCCTTGTCTCAGTCTTTTCGGAATTTTTCGCACCGTCCTGTTCATGCTAGGTGGGTTTGGCGTATAAATTTGGGTCTCTGTCGAGTAGTGGCTATGGATTGAACGCTTTTTGAATAGCTAATTCTCCTCGTATAATATCTGGTAGCCGAGTTTGAAACGCAATCGTGTCCGATATATGCTTATGCTGCTGTTCCATGACAGTGGCAAGGACCTTTTGCATCGTATGCTGGACATTCTGCATTGTATTCAGGGCCTCAGTTTCTCGATCCTGCCTTTGAATCTCTTCATCAATACGATCCTTTAACTGCGATGTCCAAGTGGTCAATTTTTGGACCGATTCATCCAGCTTCTCTGTTTGACCATTGTAGTACTCGAATTTCTGATCTCGGGTCTTCTGCATCGTCTCATTTCGATCGTTTTGTTCCTTTAAACGTCGTTCCAATTCCTCAACCTTATCTTGTATCTTCTTATTTTGATTGTCTTGTTCCTTTAAACGTCGTTCCAATTCCTCAACCTTATCTTGTATCTTCTTATTTTGCTTGTGTTGCTCCTTTGGACGTTGTTCCAACTCCTTGATCTTATCTTGCATCTTCTCATTTTGATTGTATTGCTCTTCTAAAACTCGTTCCAACTCCTTGATCTTATCTTCTTTCTTCTCATTTTGATTGTATTGCTCTTCTAAAACTCGTTCCAACTCATTGGTCGTATTTTGAATTTCCCCATTTTTATTGTATTGCTCCTCCAAACGTTGTTCCAACTCCCTGATCTTCTCTTGCTTCTTCTCATTTTGATTGCATTGCTCCTCTAAACGTCGCTCCAACTCCTTGACCTTATCTTCTTTCTTCTCATTTTGATTGCATTGCTCCTCTAAACGTCGCTCCAACCCCTTGATCTTATCTTGCATCCTCTGAAAAGGTGATGACGAAGGTTTTTTTACTTTACTTGCTTTATTCCCATAATTCAAGCCTAGGCGATTCGGGACATTTCCCAGACCCTTCGACATGTTCGGATGGCTTTGGTTAGATGTATCACTTAATTTATTGAGGGTTGAGGTGATGATTAGCAACGTATCTTCTGGCTATATGGGTATCTCAGCGCTATTCTTGAATGTGATGTAGTATAAACTAACATACCTTACTGAGTAGATGATTGTCTATCGATGTAAAGTGAATAATGAGCTTACACTTAGTGATAATGATTTCAAGACAATACTAGCGGTATACTATGGGTGAAGTTTATAATAACAGAAATATGAAGTGAAGTATACACTATGAATGGAGTATGTACTATGCACGAAGTATACAACAACAGGATTCAATATAGTCTTTATCCTTGTTTACTTTGATCTTTCACGAGATGGAGTAAATAGAGGGGGAAGGCACGACAAGAGCGAGTGGACAGGAAATCACATAAGAAGGCGCGACTTGAGCCACTACCTAGACGTATGGATGATAGTTGTGTTATGAGGTTAGATCTTCTCTTCTCAAACGCTTGTGAAGTCAATGGCTACTTCGTGCCATTGAATTTACATGTCTCTATTTCACCATGTAATAGTAGTGGTAAATTCATCATCGATTCAGTCTACCTATAGCTATGCTACGCTGACTATGCGATGCGCCTAAATGTGCTTTCACCAAGTATATACCTAACTAATTGGTGACATTAAGTGATTACTCTTTTCTCGTACTATAATATCAAGAGCATGAAATCAAAGCTTACTATACGTGAAATACGTAATGATTGAAGTCGAAGTAACTCACATTTTCGGGCTCGCTAAAGTCACCATCCTCACAATTCATCAATTGTCAATTGCAATCTACAACTGAACACTATATTGTCATCAAAGTATTGATCTAAGAACCAATATTATAATGCAGAAGGAACAAATGAGGATTTATGAAGCGTTTATGATTAAAAAATTCATGCACTAGAACAGGGTTCTATTCTGAAGGAGTATTTCACTCCTAATAGAAGAAAGGTGCGTCGCTTACAGAAAATAAACGGCGAGCTACTAAACAAAAGGTTATAAACACATAACTTCACAAACTTTGAAGCAACAAACTATGAGCGAGGCATCGATACTGCTATCTGAAGGAGATTCAAAAAACATCAGGGAATCACGGAAGATGTATGGAAAGGGCTGAAGTCGAGCTGATGATACAACGAATCAAGATATGAATAATAATGAAAGTTTATAGGTACTATAAATTTCAAGAGACCACGGTGGAATTACTGGTAAATGAGTCACTGAGCCATTTCCAGACAATCAAACCCTCCATCCTCAAGTTTCTTTTACTTTTTAGCGAGTGCCTCGTAACTACCGTGTGATCTCACTCACACTGTGCTTGACTTCGCTCCTGGAATAAGAAAATTATTATCATCCTCCCACAATCTCTCATGACTCTCTTGTCAGCAAGATAGCGAGAAAGAGTTCCAAGGCGATTAAATAAACAGCTTAGCATATCGTGTAATCATCTTCACTAGGTAATCATTATGAAAGAAATTGAAATGATCTGTTTTCAAAACGACAATGATAGCTTCCTTCTTATTACTCTTTTAGCAATCCGCAATGAAACAATCAATCTATCATGATTCATTGTATAATTTTCATCTCGTTTTAAGAAATTTGAAACACTTTCTGATGTCATCTCGTTAATATCTTGTAGATTTCAAAACCCACTCCCATCTCACCTGCCTCTCTTTCTTTCTTACAACACCACTCAAAGTGATCAACTTATCCAATACCCCATCTCCATCTCCTCCTCATCATCCATATCCTCCTCCTCCTCCTCATAAATTCCCCATATCCACTGTCTCCGCCATCCCACCCGCATTCCCGTTTCCCCATCCCCCTCATCCCCCTCATCCCCCTCACCCCCCTCACCCCCCTCACCCCCCTCACCCCACTCACCCTTCCCATCTTCCTTTCTCCCCTCAAACTCCTCACCCAACGCACCCCTACACAAACTCTCCACCATCCCCAAAATCTCCTCCACCCCATTCAATTTCCCCCTCACCCCCTCTAAACTCACCTCAACCTCCTCTCTAATCTTCGTCATCAAATCTGCTAGAGTATCTACCTGTATTTTAATCTGTTCCCAAGCCTTTTGATTTTCATTTCCATTTTCCTTACCCTCCTTGATCTCGACCCGAAGAATTCGAAATTCTTGGGATCCGGGTGCCCCGTAACGCGGCATCAGATGTGTAGAAAAAATTTGACATTGTGAGTTCGATGAAAGGAGAAAAAGAAACAATTAAAGATGGAAGTGATAGAATCACCTAGTTTGTATGATCTTTTCCAGATTCAAAAGAAAAGAGAACTAGCTGTGAGGGTTATTGAGAATACATAAATAAATTTTACTAGGAACCTACTTGGAGTTATAAGAGATCTTTATACTACACAATCATACGAATTGATCATCGTGTGAACTTTGAGGTCTTGTGATATACTATTACTAGATAGGTTAGGGAGTCAGTGAGCGCTTGCATTTTCATATGATGATCATACCTACCTACTGACAAGCGACAAACGTTTCTCATCTACCTCCTAGTGACTTCACCTACCTACCTAGCTATGCAAACATTCCATCAACCAAGCAATCATTTACTCCCCATTACTATTCACATCCACACCCCATTCCCTCAGCTCATTCATCCACAAGTAACTATCCATCCTCATCCTCATCCTCATCCTCATCCTCCTCATCTCTTCAATTTTCGCTCAACATTCTTCCCATTCAATCTAAGATCACTTCTCAGAGATATCTAATATCCATCATCATACTATATATATATATATATATACATTTAAAGTATATTTCTAATACTAGATAAAATGAAAACTTTATTATATTTATATCCTACACTTTATACCTCATACCTTATACTTTACATCCCACAACTTCCATCTCAGATCTTGTATCCTATATTCTATATTTTACTTTCCTTTACTATTATCACATTATTAAACTATTATCACATTGTTAAACTATTATCAAATTATAAAAGTCAATAAACTAGATACCTAGATATATAATTACAGAATCTTATAACTTTTTTATTTTATTTTATTTTATTACCTTCATCACCATCATCACCTTCATCACCATCAAATTAAATCAAACCACATATCACTCACTACTTCAAATCAAATCACTATTATCACCATCCCTATTATAAACCCACAAATAAACATAAAATCTCATTCATAATTATAATCATAAAATCTCATAAAATCTCAAAATCATATCATTTCATATCATTTCATTTCATATCCCCTCCCATCCCATCCCAACCCATCCCATCCCATCATATCCCATCATATCCCATCATATCCCATCATATCCCATCCCATCCCATCATAACCAAACAACTCATGAAATTTCATACCGGCATTACCACCAGCCAACCCTATCAATATCAATCATATCTTAGGTAATGACCACTGCATTCCTATTCCTATTCCTATTCCTATTCTCTATTCCACCCCCCCTCCCCTCCCCCCCCCCCCCCCTATTCTCCCCACCAGATACCTACATCCTAGCGAGACCGACCGCGACCGCTACTGTACTGCCCAACTGAACGAAACTGAACTAAACCAAACTAAAACAAGCTAAACCAAACTAACCATCTATCCCTCACCAACCCCGCATCCCCTATCCCCTCTCCCCTATCCCCTCTCCAATACCTCGACTAAGCTAGCCTCTTCCACCAAACAAACCCCTCCATCTCCCCCCATCCCCCATCCCCAATCCACCCTCTCACCCTATCGTTTCCCCCCCACATTCTGACCACTCAAACTCTCTTCCACCCCCAACTTCACCGAACTCGCACTTCTCCCAAACCCCAGCACCTCAGGCGAAACCCTCCCACTCCCACTCCCACCACTCATAATCGCCTCTCCGGCATTCTTCCTCCCCTTCTCACTAGACGTCACACTTTCACTCCCACTCCCGCTCCCACCCTGCGAAGCATTTCCCTGGGTAATCGCCGCCCCTCCATCCCCACCCCCAACAATCAAATCCCCGCCTCCTCTCACCTTCCCCACCACCATTCCCTTCGCCACGCTCTTCACAATCGCTCTCCGACTCACCCCCGTCGCATCAATATAAACCAATCCCACATTCATGACTCCGCCGCCGATATTCCGAGAGATATTCCCCGCTTCCGGTCCATACTTATGTTCCACCACCGTCGTTGCCGCGGTCGACGTCGAAGCCAGGAGATTGCGACCCGCCTGATCAATGCCATCGGCGATGGTCGAGAAAGCCATCATGGATTTATTGAGAATGCCGGGTTTGTAATTATCCACCGGCTTGCCATCTGGACCGATGCCGCGATGAGCTTTCTGGTTACGTTTTGCGAGCGTGGCCCCGATGTTTTGTGCGTATTTCGTGACCTGTCCGACGGTTTTGGCAGAGAGGCCAGCGGCGCCTTCGGTAAAGGTGTGGACTCGACGAATGTGAGCGTGAGTGGTGGGAGTAAAAGTCATGGGTTTGGTGGTGGGTGCGGATTTGGAAGTGTAGCTGTCGGCTTGAGATGTAAGGGTTTTGGAAACATAGCTGGAGGTTGTTACGATGAGACGGGAGGCCATCGCGGCGGTCGAGACGAGGTTGGAGGATTTGTAGGCGGGGTGCATGGCCATTTCGAGGTAAGCGGGAGATGCGGGAGCGACACCAATGTTGAGGGAGCCATCTTGGGGAAGAGTGATTTCGACTGGATCTATCGAGGTTGTTAGGAAAAGAAGTGTAAAATGAAATGGTTGGAACGATATACATACCTTTCGAACCCGGTTTCATTTTCGCATCTTCAACGACATGAAATCCTTCTCCCAACTCACCAACCACACTCCCATTTTCCTCATCCACCAACACAATCTGTCCCCCCGCATGAGAACTTGCACTTCCCGAAACATAAGCTTCTCCTGGGGCAAAATCCGACGGATTATACGCAGGCAAGGGTTCTTTTGTAGATTTCGCCTTTTCTTTCTTCGGACGAGAAGATTGTGGAGGGGGTGCACGCTCTAGGAAAGCTGTACACTGTGCCAAGATGGTTTCAAAAGTATCGACATCATCCTGATTGATTTTCGACGCTCCTACGATGGGGAATTCGATTTTGGTAAAGACGCCACTGTCGGGTCCCAAGTCCCATCGGGGAATGAGATAGCTGCTGGGTGGTTGGTGATAGATTTGAGTGGTGGCGGGGAGGGGAAGATCGAGCTCGGGAGGTAGGTGGAGATGGAGGTAGAAGTCTTCTTCGGGGGTTTGGGATTGGGGATCTGCGATTGAGAGACCGGAGAAGGGGGAAGAGGTAGGGACCATTAGGAGGGAGAGGGTTTGAGGACCATTCGGTGTGAGGGATTCTTCTTTGCCATTTTCGATATGATATGCATTTATACCATTGATGGCATAGAGAAGCTTAGGATCCTATGAGATATTAGAATCTGCGAATGGGAAATGAGAGAAATGATTAAAGAGGTATTACATTATGTCCCGATGCCATTTTGATTTCTTGTATGAGCGAAACTGTAGGATATCTACTTCTCAGAAAATCCGTGCCGTTTGTAAATGTAAATAATGCAGGATCAATAGTCTCTATCCTATCTACCAAAATATCGTATCTTTGCAATCAACAAACCCTTGTACAGTGGGGGATTCCAATGAGAAGAAAGCGATGAAGGTGAAGAAAGCGATGAAGAAGAAGATGAACACAAAATCAACTTAACTTTCTGGTAGAATGAAATCTCATCACCACTCTTAAGGAGGGCGGTTATTCAAAGATCTTACGCGCTTCAAAACCGTTTGGTGGTAGCCAAGAGAACATGCAACAGAGCCAATGGCGATGACGTACAAGGAATATTAAAATCAGGGCGTTTAGCATTGCCCCTCCTTTCTGGAGGTGCCCAGGTGCCCAGTTGCGGTGAATGAGGAGAGTGGCTGAGGCGAGAGATCATCATCAAAGGCTTCCAATTTCCATTCGATGAAGGTTATTCTCGGTAAAGCATTGGTACTTGTAATGAAATATCGAGTGATTCCAGGTTGTGAGATGTTCAAATACATAATATAATATCACACATTGTCCCCCTTATCTTGCAAGAATTAAACCAGAGTCGAGACTTAGATAGAATCTTGGATTTACAGCTCCCCTCGCACCAAATCTCAAATCTTGATAAAGGATTCGATAGTCATGTATGGCTGAAAAAGTGGCTGAGCTACCTACTCCTCCCTCAAAATGGTTTAAAATCTGACATCCATGATGGAAAAAGAAACATCCATGTGGGTGATGGGTGGGAAGCAGCGTAGCTCAATCCAGTAATTTTGTGAGTTTGGTGTATGGATAGTACAAAAGCCCTCTTCATGATATAGGTACCTATCTAATGGTCATCGATTCATTACTATGATATGGATTCTTTTTAAGAAACTGATTTATTAATATATATTCTCATTCTTCACATCATGTTGTTTGTTTGTTGAGAATTCCATGATACTCGAAGGATATGATTTCTTTTCTCAAAAGCCAGCCCAGCCCAGCCATAGCATACACATCAAAGCGTCCTCACCCCACCATCCAGAATTGAGCGGGAGTGACATTCAGGACAGGCATCGACGCCAGATATTTTCGTCCATTTCTTCTTCGATTCACCATTCTTTCCCGACGCAACGCAGCGGGATATAGGAGAATTATTCCAGGAAGAGGTAGAGAACGGGGACCAAAGCCAAAGCGATTCATTTATTTATCCCTGCGTACCTATCTCATCCGGGAAAGGAGAGGGAGGGAGGACTCGAGAATCGAGATATCTGGTGTCTCCATGATGTGGAGAGGATGGAAACCCCGAATGGGGTACTAGGTTACAAGACGGGCGAGACAGGTATTAGATTCCATGTACTCTGGAGGTATGTACAAGTATACGCACGGATGAAGTGGTGAGTTACTCAATAGTCTTGGTATTTCACGAGATGGGCGAGGATTCTCGATGGTGTTCTTACTGGGACTGCGTACTTCGGAAGAGGGAGGTATCAGGTATGTTTTGCAGTGGGGTCTTGGATGGGCGGGGTACCACCACGAATATTATGCATGCGATGCTATTAACTATTAACTGACATGCGTGAATGGGATGGGGAATATAGTACGAGTAGGGAGATGCTATTTCGATGCGTGCACATGGGTTGCTGATTGCCGTGTGATATCTTAGCCAGAA